TTGTCTCAAATGGCAAAGGAAACGTTCGATCTTCCTGCATGCTGGATTCGATTTTGCGACCATTTGTATGTACCTCTAGTGAGTACATTCAAGGAAACTTCCTAGCAGATATGGAGTAGAATTCAGAGGTGCAGGAAGGAAGGAGAGGAGCTGGAGATCATGCTTTATCTGAAAGCATTCTTTCAAAAGAATGTGTCGGTGATGATACATCAGGGATTTATCATTCTTACTTCTTTTTTTTCTTGCACCTTTCAACCAAATTGAAGAGTGCGGTTGCTTAGAAGTACGATTTTGGATTATATTTTTACTGACTACTTGATTAAGAGGCTGTGCATCAGACTGATTTTGTGATATCCCAACCATGATGAGGTAAAATTGCTATAATTTGACAAAAAAAAAATAAGATATGGAAATTCCCATTTTGGAAAAATTTTGGAAAATTGAGAAATCTTCCTCTGCCATATCATAGTCTAGGGCCCAACAATGGGAGGACCAGCATCTGCTGTTATCATCAATAATTGAAAGATCCTTCAACCCTCCTTTTTTTTTTTCTTCTTCAAAATAAAAATAAAAGAGAAGCAAACAGGGCACAAATTGAGATAATATTCCTGCAGACGGAAGGCAATCACAGAACAGAAGTGCACGTTTTATTTGAATTATTGATTTGCTATTGAAGTGGTAGGTTCATGGGGACCTCAAGAACCCAGCTTTGTGTTGCTATCAGGGTGCATGCATGAAACTTCATAACACCTCGCTTTTTTATCATCTAAGGTTTCTGGTCCCCATGTTTTTACTAATTATTTTTTTTTGTTGAAGATTATAAATAATAATAATAATAATAAAGAATGGGAGGGATTGTTCAGAATCAGCACAGGTTTTTGGTTGATCAGATACAATTGTTGGAGATTGTCTTCTGTAACTCATCAATCGCATGCTATTAGTGAGTGGCAGCCTCGTTTAATCAGCTGTTAAGGTATTAGGCAGAGATGCATGGCAAGCAATAAATGATGAAAATTACAGAGGGTCTTTCCTGCTTTAGTTTTTCACTGCTTACAATAACAGGATCTTCCTCTTCTATGTGTTGGGATAGCTGCCAGCCAGTCATTCTCTGAAGTCTAGCACTACAGCTTATTTTAAAAAAATATTTTTAATATCTGAAAAATATTAAAAAATATTAATTTAAAATAAAAAATAAAAAAATAATTTTTTAATAAATACTTTTTAAAAAAAAAACCTCACTTTTACCAAATCTTGGTAGAAAGAGAAACACAAGGACAAAAAAACAAGTTTTGAGAAATAGAAAGCATGGAGACCTAACAAAACATCCGCTACAAGTCCTCCCATTGCCAGAGTTTATTACTGTAAGGTACATTTTACACTTCATCCAGCTCTTCAATTGCTAGTTAGGCATGTCGATTCCCAGACATTATGGGACGATGTTACCACGTGCCCGTTTAAAATTCAAGGATAAATAATAAAATTAGAAATATTAAAACATTTTGCTGAAATAGCACTGGTTGACCATGTTATACTTTAAAATTGCATCATGCTCGAACAATATTATTTTTTAATAAATCGGATCACCGGTTAATAAAGGTTAGTAAAATTAGTTGATTAATTTTAAAAATAACAAGAAAAATTTTAAAATTATTAAAATCAAGCGTCTCAACAAAAATTTTGATATCTAAAAATTTAATGATCCATATAATAACACAATAAATGTTATAAAAAAAATAACCTTTAAAAAACTTTTATATAAATTTAAGTACAATCCAATTATTAAATCATTGTTAAATAAAAAATTATGTATATTTCTTTTAAGATATTATTCTAATTTAAAGTAATCAAACCTTTTATTGAGCATAAATTTATCCCATTAGTTTATAAATACGTTAGCTAAGTCATCTACATAATCTATTTGGAGAAGATTTTTATTTAATTATAGCATACTCACACTTTACTTGGAATCAATAGACAATAACTTTTTTAGTTTGCAAGTTTGATAAAGATATATATTTTGATTTATAAAACATATTTAAAAAAAAATTCATAAAATTGTAGTTTTCATAAGAAATAATTCACTAGTTAATATAATTAGATCAAACCGGAGATGAAAATGTAGAGTTTGATCATGTCACGTTTTAAAAATATGATATAATTAAATTATGTTATTTCATTAAATCTTTTTAAAATTATATTATTTTATCAAATTTTCATGTTTATTGTGCTATTTAAAGAAAAAAAAAAACCAAACTTTAAAGGTAAAGTACACCAACAATACATTAGGCCCACTTACTTTTCCAACCGTATATACAAACAATTGATTTAATTATTCCAAGCTCATATCATTTGATAGATTAGTTTTATCAATCAGATTTCTAAAACCTAAACAAGAACCGCTTAATAAATGAAATTGTGCTCAATCAGTAAAAAGATATCAAGTTGTTGTTTTGGCTTTTAAAATTTTAATTTAAAGATTTGATTAAAATTTAATTTAAATTTTTGATTTTTAATTTTTTTAATTATATTTCTAATGAATTTAAACTTTTAATTTTATATAATTTTATCTTTATTAAATTTTAACATTAACCTTGAATTTTAGAATTTTTTATTATTATGATCCATAGTCTTAGATTTATATAAATTAATATTCAATAACTACTAAGATTTTTATTTTTATTATTTTTATCTCTGTCTTTCATTTAATTAAGTCCTCAAAGTTTAGTGCTACAAATGTTTTCAATTTAACTTCTAATTGACCATAAATTTTTAATTTTCTTATAATTTTACATTTAATTTTAATCAATTGACTTTGTAAAAAAATAAGTTTAGTCCTTTGAAAATCCATCTTTCTTAATTAAGTTCAAATTGGGCTTTCAAACTTATTGTTTCACCAATTAAACCCCTAATAAAATTAATTTGATCAATTTAAACTATAATTACGTCCTTGTACTTAATTAAATCTTTTAATTTAACACAAATTAATTATTAAACATAGTTAAACTTTTTAATTTAGTCCATGATTAAGTTAAATTGACCTATTAAAAATCTAATTATATTATTTGACTTAATTTTTATGCAGATCCATCCAATAATAATTTAATTTAACCTTATATTTGCATTCTCCCAAGTCTTGGATACAATAGGATACGATTAAACTCTTGATTTCATCAAAAATTACAACTTAATTTTTCTATACATTTGAAATCCTCCTTGACTTGCTTTTGTTAAATCGCCAATCTTCTTGGTATTATTATTTATTTAAAAAAATAGTAAATTTTAGAGATAACATAAAAATAGATTATGACATATATTAGTGTTGTTTTTTACTCAAACTATTGAAAGGTTATACTATAAGATTTAATCTAGCAAGTATATTGCATGTTTTTTTTATTAACATCTTTAGATGATAAGAAATAAACAATTCTTTTAACACTAAATGAGTTTTATCATAGGTTTCTTAAATTATTTTAAAAATTATAATAATACAAAATCTATAATATAAACTATTTAAATTTTTATTATTTTTCAACTATGTTTTTTACAAATAAAATTATGAAAGTATTTAATAGAATTTCATGATATTCTATCACGTGGGACATTTAGATAAACTAAAAGTGTAAATAAGAGATAAAAGAGTTGATGCTAAAATAAAAGTATATATATATATATATCCTACATACCACATGGTTTTTTAACCTAGAAAACTATTTTGAGAGTCATGTTTTTTTGCGAAGTCATTTAACATGTTTAATGTGTTTAGATAAAAAGCTAGGTAAAAAGCTAATCAATACTCAACATAAAATGATTTTGAGATTCAAGTCTAAGAAAAAGTCCAATCCTTACTTTTAACTATGATGATAATAAACATGAAAAATTGGTGGACAATAAATTATAACCCTCCTTTCTAATTTTTTAGGAAAAAAATGAAATAAATATCACCACTCAAACTTGATGGCTTATAAGGAGTTGAATTAACTCATCTTCAATTTACTTTTTTTTTAAAAAAAAAAAAGGAAGAAAAAAGACATGTCTTTAACATCAAACTTGTTTGATGAATCAACACATTCAAAAATTTATAAATATAAAAAATAATAAAATTAAATGAAGTCAACCTACATGTGAGGAAGTTAATTAAGAAGAAGTTAGATGGAAAACTAGATAGACAACTTAAAAGGGTATTATTAAGGACAACTTCAAAGATGTAGATCTAGACATGCATATTAAAATAAAAAAAAATTAACAATATTATTTAAAATAAAGTAAAAGAGTTGACAACATTATTCAAAATAGACTAAAATAATACATTATCTATCTATTATTTAATTATCGAGATATCAAATACTAAGAGTCATAGTATGAAGGGATAAAATAACATTAAGGCATTTTATTTGAAAAACATAAATAAATTTTATAAAAATAAATTATATTCTTGATAATACTATATCTTCAAGACTCTACTCAAGTGAAATAAAAATAAAATAAAATAACAAAAACAATCAACACAAAAGACAAATAATACATAGATATATAACATAACATCAAAACACACACACACGCACATATATATATATATATATATATATATATATATGTTTTTAATAATTTTGAAAGTAGAAATCATGCATAATGGCTATTTTTCATGAATTTTGGAAATACAGCCACAATAAACTGAAAAAATTGAATTTGAAATCTTCAACTAAAAAAATGATTCTCAATTTTAAAAACTTATATAATAATTAGAATTTAAATTTAAAAATCAAGAATGTTGCGTTTATATGAAAACCAAAATTTCATCTAAAAAACAGAGGAAAAAGAGAGGGAAACACAAGCACAAAACAAGGGCACCATTGCATAGCTTCCTCGTCATCACCATGATAATCATTTGAACCAAAATAGTAGAAACAAGATGAAGGAAAAACTAGAATTTGATCTAGAAAACAAAGAGTAAGGTCGCATGACCATATAGAAACATAAAAGGGAGGAACAACAGCGACAAGCACAAGTAAAAAACAGGAGCACCATCGAATGACTTCCTCGTCACCGCTACGATAATCGCCTTGCGTCACTATCCTCAATAGCAGCACCACCATAAGAGGGGATAAAACCTTTTGAAATAGAAATACAAAGTAGCAGAGACAAAGAGAAAAAAGGAGAGCAGAAACAGTTGACAGATAAGAAGGATCATTTTCCATCGGCCAAGCAGCTCCCTCCATTCACCATTGGCCTTCGCCGTTGTGACCACCAACCAGACATTATCACCATGCAGGGTAGCTTCCTTTTTCCCTTCCCTTTCTCCTTTTTTTCTTTTTCTTTATTTATAGAATTTGTTGTTGGTATCCACTGTTGACATGAACAATAGAGACTGACTAGAAATTATACAGTAGCGGATTGAAAAATAACAAACCAATATGTTTTGGACCAAGTCTGATTGAGTAAACAAAAATGAATAGAAAAAAAGTTATTGTTAAAAATACTATCCAAAAAATATTTTTAAAAAAAATAAAAAAATAGTGTTTGACAGTATTCATTTGTTTATCTATTTAGCAGTATACATATGGATGATAAGTGTTTTAATGCATTATTCAATGAAGATTTCGATGATGTTATGAAAATATAATAGAGTGTGTTGTTGATCATATTAACTATCATGGTGATTATGATAACAATGGCGCAGACGGAGATGTTGATGATGAGGCAAATGATGACGACAATAATGATGATAGCAATGAGGATGATGAATCATTTTGGAGGTGAGAATTTGATATGAAAAGGTTAGTTGTGTGCATAGCTTGGGCAATACTCATGTATTATATTAATTATATGCATAAAGAATTGTGTATGGTTTTGTACAATACAGGCATGTGTTGATTAACTGAAGTTTTATGAGGACATTGGAAACAATGTGTAAACATGTTTAAAATGGACACATCAACTTTATTGAGCTTGTGCAATGATTTAGAAATAAGGTATAGGTTAATACCTTTGAAAAGGATGAGTGTGATTGAAAAAGTGGTTATATTTCTATATAGAATAACACTTGGAGCATCGAATAAGGAAGTTCAAGAACAATTTCAACATTTGAGTGAAACTATAAGTAGATGCATCAAAGAAGTCTTAGCAGCAGTATGTTTGTTTGTATTAGATGTTATAAAACCAGAGGACTCGAATTTTACAAGAACTCCACAAGAAATTACAATGAATCCAAGATATATGTCTCATTCCGAGGCAGACAATTATTTGTTAATATTGGTAATGTGAAATTGAAATAATGTTTTACATGTTAGTAACTAATGAATATATATTGTCAATGGTTTTCATGTAGAATTGTGTTGGTGCAAGTGATGGAACATATGTGTGAGCTTGTATATCAACTGAAAATCAAATTTCATTTATCAGAAGAAAAGGTATACCGACTCAAAACATAATGGTTGCTTATAGTTTTGACATACAGTTCACGTTTGTGTGGGCAGGATTAGAAGGTAATGCCCACAATTCATGTATTTTTCTTGAGGCTATTGACAATATAAATATAAAATTTTCTAAACCACCAGAAAGTAGTTATACAATAGAACTTAAATAATTATAAGTTTAATAATTTGTGAAATTCTTATTAATCCTTTGACAAATGTAAAAGTTGTATCTAATTACGAGTAAGTACTATCTAGTTGATTCTGGATATCCCAATGAGTATGGATATTTAGGTCTATATATATAAAGGGTAGAGGTATTACTTCAAAGAATTTGGCAATGAGAACAACCAAGAAACCGGCAAAAAAAGTTTAATCATGCACACTAACCACTATGTAATGTGATAGAACATTCTTTTAAAGTATGAAAATAGAGGTGGGGAATTCTACAAAACATATGACACGACCAAAAGATTGATGTTTTCTCTCAAGTATAGGAGTGTCGAAGTAATAAATAACCCGACAAAATCAGGATCGAACCTTAGGGAGGTTAATTGTACAACTTATAAATAACAATAATACAACAATAATACAACAACAATACCAATAACAACAACAACAACAACAACAACAACAACAATAATAA